CCGCGGGGTCCTGAAGGTGAGCGTGGCTACCAGCAGGGCCCTGCCTCTCCTGCTGCGTTTTGGGGTGCGTGGGCACGTGGGTGGGCTGCATCCCCAGCCCTTGGGCTCACTAAACGCTTCCAGGGCTGCCGGGCTGGTGGATTTAGCCTTTCATTTGAAAGGCAAAGGGGGTGAGCATCCCTCGGGAGGAAGGCGGCTGGGGTGGTGGTTGAGGCTGCTGGGTTCAGGCTGCTCGGTGAGTTTTGCTGCCATTGTGTTCCTGAGCAGATGATTAGCTGTAAATCCACCCAGCGTGTTTGCCTGTGACTCGCAGACGTTGGAAAGAGCACATTTCTGAGGTCATCCTGTCTGCTCCACAGCCCCTGTTTCATATTCAGGGCTGTTTCTGGATAGTTCTCCCCAGCGCTTGCTCTTCTCCAGCTGAATAGGACCTTTCCTCTAAGAATAGCATCCTCCCCTGCTCCATCCTCAGCTCGAGAACTGCTTGTTCCAGGCTGTAGCATTCAAAGAAAAAAAACACACCAACCAGAAGTGTTGACAAGAAGGGAGCAGTGAAATGACACACCCGTGCGAGTCAAACCCATGCATGTGGAATTGCTTCAGGTCTGGAGCCACGGGGTTTATCCAGACACCTCCAAAGCATGGGCAGGTCTCTGCTCCCAGCCCTGTCCCACGGTGCCCATTTGGGATTTATTTTTAGGGGCTGATGGAGTGGCAGCCCCTCGAGGTGCCTTTTGGTTTAGAGCAGCCCTGGAGCATGTGTCTGTGTGTGTATCTGTGGTTTTTTTGTATGTATCATGTGTGTGTATATAAAAACACATCTGTGTGTCTATATCTCTTCTCCATCTTTCTCCTTCTGCATCCTTAGCTGTCCCTTGGTCTCCTTTCTCACGGGTGGTTTCTCTCTCTCAGATCATTAAACGACCTGGGAGTGAGGACGAGTGCCCCATGATTGGGGACAAGGTTTATGTCCACTACAAAGGCAAACTGGCCAACGGGAAAAAATTCGACTCCAGCCGCGATCGGAACGAGCCCTTTGTGTTCAGCCTGGGCAAGGGTGAGCTGCTCTGGGTGGGATTGATCCTTGGGAGGGATGAGATTGATCCTTGGGAGAAATGGAATGATCCTAGGTAGGGGTGGAATGATCCTTGGGAGGGGTAGAATGATCCTAGGCAGGGTAGGATGGTCCTTAGGAGGGGTAGAATGATCCTAGGCGGGGTGGGATGATCCTTGAGAGGAATCAAATGATCCTAGGCAGGGTAGGATGGTCCTTGGGAGGGGTAGAATGATCCTAGGCAGGGTGGGATGAGCCTTGGGAGAAATAAAATTATCCTAGGGAGGATGGGATGATCCTTGGGAGGAATGGAGTGATCCTAGAGAGGGTGGAATGATCCTTGGGAGAAATAAAATTATCCTAGGGAGGATGGGATGATCCTTGGGAGGAATGGAGTGATCCTAGAGAGGGTGGAATGGTCCTTGGGAGGCATGGAATGACCCTAGGGAGAGTGGAATGATCCTGTCTTGGATGGGACATGCCTGTAGGACAGATGAGCTGTGTCAGCCCTGCCTTAAGTGAATTCTCAGGGTGTTGTGGGTTTTTTTTGGGTGCCATCCTTATAGCACCCAGGCTGGTGTTCTTTCAGGGCTGGCGGTTGCTCCCTCCTGCCTGACGTTTGCCTCTCTCCTAGGTCAGGTAATCAAGGCATGGGACATCGGGGTGGCTACCATGAAGAAGGGAGAGATCTGCTACCTGCTCTGCAGACCCGAGTACGCCTACGGCTCTGCTGGCAGTGCCCCCAAAATCCCCTCCAACGCCACCCTCTTCTTCGAGGCAAGTAACGCCGGCGCGCGGGTGAGCTCGCTCCCTCCCTGCCTTGCCAGCCAGCTCAGAAAGCACAAAAAAATAAGCAGCTTGGATTCCTGAAATGTGTCCCTCTGCTCCAGGAACCGCTGCCAGGGTTTTCTCAGAAATGTGTGTCTGAGCTGGGACTGAGACTCCGGCTGGGGAGAGCCCCGGTGCCAGGAGGTGGAGCGGGCAGATTCCCGCCTTCCAAAATGCAGATGGGAGGGAGAGAGCAGCTGGGAAATGCTTCTGGGTGCTCCAGCCCCTCGGTGCTGCTGGGAGGTAGGAAAGCCAAGATTTTGGCGTGGGGTGTCTCTGGACAAAGCAGACCAAGTCCTGAAATTGGTCCTAAATTAAGGTCAGAGCTGGTCCCATCAGAGTGAAGGAGAAACTCTTGCCCACGCCGGTCCCGGGCAGCTTTCACAGCATCTTCCAGCACCAGCCGTGTTGTACAGGCTTAATAAACTTATTTTTACTGTTACTTTGTGTTATGCTTCAGGTACTGGATGTGTCCCAGTTTCTAATCAATCGGGTGTATTATGCTGTGGCTTGGAGCTGGCTTTTATGGGCAACTTCTGCTCCTCAGCTGAATGGAGAATGAGCTGGCTTGGCTCTCCAGCCAGGGGATGAACTGCTGCTTTGTGGCTTTTCTGTTGTTTTTCTCTTCTCCTTCACCCCCTCCCTGAGCTCTGCCCACCTTTTCTTGATTATTTTGTTTTGTAGGTCGAGCTGCTTGACTTTAAAGGCGAGGACCTGTTTGAGGATGGAGGGATAATCCGGAGGATCAAGAGGAAGGGAGAAGGTTACTCCAACCCCAACGAAGGTGCTACGGTGGAAAGTGAGTGGTGGTGGCTCTGTCGGGGGGGCTGGAGGGGTGAGCCTGCCCTGGAGCAGGGTTGGTTGGGAAACCTGGAGCCCTGGGAGCAGCCAGGTGACAACACAGCCACCACTTGGTTATAACCTGCCCTGCTCTTAGTCGTGGTGGCAAAATCCCTGCGAGCCCTGGAGCTGCTCAGCCCAGGGGAGGATGGAGGGAGCAACCTCTGTGGGGTATGAGGGCTTTGCTGTCTCCCCTGACACTCCTGCAGTGTCCAAGCTGCTCCAGGATGCCACCAGCTCCCAAAATCCCAGCTCTGCCTTGCCATGGGAGCATTGGTAGCCAGGATGTCCTCCCCCAGTGCCATCCCTGGCTGAGTGTTTCAGGCTCTCAGCAGCCTTTGGCCTTGTTCTGATGTCAGTTGTAATTTTGGGGGGGGTTATCACAGCTCTTGCAGAATGGAGCCTTCTCCTTCCCTTCCCCTGTGGCTGCTGCTGATGGAGGGGGAAGGAAATTAGTACAAGGGGTTTGCTGAGGCTGGGGTGGTCTCAGCTGATGTGGAGGGTGAGGAGCTGGGGTGTGTTGGGTTCTCCTTGCTTCTGGAGCAGATGTTTTGTGGGGCTGGACGGGGGAAGCCAAGCTTTTTTTTTATTTTATTTTTCTTCTTTATTTTTTTTTTTACCTTTTTATTTCCTTTTCCCTTCCCAAGAACCACTCGGCCACAGACACAGATTGCTCACTCCATACAGGAGGCATTTACTTTCTTTTCTCTCTTTCAAAGCTCCCATACACAAAATTAACTCCCCTGAGCGAAGGAGAAATTGGATTTGAGCTGTGACAGCTCATAAAGCTCACTGCCTTAAACGGCTGCTGGTTCTAACGAGGTTTTCTTTTAAGGAAAAATGAGGTTTTGACTCAGATTGGACTGTCTGCCTCTCCCGTGGTGAGCATCCTAGCTGGGGACCAGCCACGAGCTGAGCTTCAAGCTGGCTCTGCTCCCTCAAAGATTAAACTCAGACTAAATATAATTGGAATCATCACAAATCCAGCTCTCTGCTTTATTTTGATGAAGTCTGAGTGCTTTACAGGCAGTGCTGTGCCCAGTGCAGAGGGTGAGGAGAGCCCTGGTCTCTCTCTGGTGGTTCCCTTGGCAGCTCAGGGTTTTCTGGATGCTCTAATAGCTCAGGAGGGGACTGAGGTGGTGCCGGGGGGGCACCAGGCAGGGATCAGCTCTCTGAAAGGACACGAGGGACCAAACAAGGAGGCTGCTCGTGTGCCTGCTGCCCCACAGCCTGTTGTCTCCTGTGCCTGTTCTGAATGAACACATCCATCAGAGCAAACGCTGTGAGCTGGAGCACACGTGTGGTCAGAGTCGTGGAGGTGGCTGCTGCCCTGCCAGGCCATCCTGTCAGGAGTGCTGCCCTGATCCTGCCCTGCCAGCTGCTCCCTTCCTGGCTCCTGTGACCCTTAATTCAGTTGGACCTATCCATCCAGGGCTGGAGACCCTTAAATACATCCCTGTGGAGAAGCAGCCCCAGGCAGCCTTGCAGTGAGCGTTCTGGGTGCCAATATGTGGTGTGGTGGGTTTTAGTTTGGTTTGGTTTGGTTTTCTTTTGTTTTAACAAATGCAATGCTGTTTATGGTGGGCACTGTGCTGGGGACATCGCAGAAGCCGTGGGGACATGGCTGAGAGCCCTGGGGCTGTTCAGCTGGAGAGGAGAAGACTCAGAGGGGATCTGATCAGTGCTGAGCAAGAGCTAAAAGGCCCCAGGGGGCAAGAGGCTGGGGCCAGACTCTGGTCAGTGGTGCCCAGGGACAGGACAAGGGGCAACGGGCACCAACTGGAACCCAGGAGGTGCCACCTGAGCAGGAGGAGAAACTTCTTTGGGGTGAGGGTGCAGAGCCTGGAGCAGCTGCCCAGAGAGGCTGTGGAGTCTCCTGCTCTGGAGAGATCCCAAACCTGCCTGGCTGTGACCCTGGGCACCCTGCTGTGGATGAGCTGCTGGAGCAGGGGGTTGGAGGAGATGATCTCCAGAGGTCCCTTCCAGCCCCCACCATGCTGGGATTCTGGGATTCTGTCACGGCAGCCATGGGACATCCCATCCCATCCCATCCCAGCAGCCCACCCTGGGGCGAGGCTGTGGCCCAGGCCAGCAGTGACAGTTTCTCTCAGCCGTGTGTTTGGGATGTAACATCACTGCTGGCACGAGCCTGGAACAAACCCCACTTCCAGGAGCAACCATCTCCAGGCTGGACTTCTGAAAGCATTTTTATAGGTTTCAAGTTTTACAGACCCCAATTCACAGTTCCGCTCCCTAAAACTCCGGCAGCAGTTGAAATCTGGCACTGCAGCTTTTGTTACAACCTTTCCCCCCCCCTCCCCACCCCTCCTCCTTCTCCGTTTTTAATCTGAGTACAAATTGCTGTCAGCACATCAAGTTCGTGTGCCAGCCGCACTCGGTACACTCTGTTCTCAGCTCTTCAAAAACAAAATCGCTGCAGGCACCGAGAGAACAATAAGTCAGAGCTGCAACCCCAGTGATGTTCCTTCGAGGGCTTTTTTTTTCTTCATTTCCTTGTAATCCAAGAGCGACTGCAACCAGCTGACCCTGCTCCTGGAAATCCAAGTGGAGATTTTCCCCCCTTTTGCCTGGAGTGTTTTCTAGGCGATTAAAAGAGAGTGGAACTCCTCGGGGGGAAGGATTGCAGCTTCCTCCTGCGTGTCCTGGTTTGAAGCAGGATCGTCCCAGCACTGTCCTGCTGGGAAGGAGGGGCCTGGGAGAGCTGTCCCTGCTGCTTTTGGGGTCTGGGATTGTGGATCCCTACTCGCTGGGGACAGGGTGGTGCTCTGGGGTTTGTCGGCTTCTCTGTGTTTTAGGCTGGATTTTCCACTTCTCTACGCCTAAGAAAATGGGCAGCTTGGGTTTGGATAGTGCAGAAGCTCCCTGGAGGAGCTGGATTTGCCTTTTGCCCTCGTGCCCAGCTGGGTGAGCACACGCCAGCCTGAGCCTCGTGGTCTCTGCAGAGCAGCGACGTGCAGGATGTGCCCCCGGGGTGCTGCTGAGCATCCTGCTCTCTGCCACGCTCGGGTGCCAGCCTGGCCCTGGGGACAGGAGGAGGGTGGTGAGACAGGGCAGGGTGTCCTGTCCCCGTGGTGGGGAGTGGATCCTTGTTGCCCCATGGTAGCTTGGGTTGCATCCTGCAGCTCTGCACGGTGCTGGGGGGTGGCTCTGAGAGGAGCCCCCAGAGCAGATTTCTTTCCGAGCACCCCTCCTCTCCCCCCTTCAGCAGCACTTGCCCAAAATGATTTTTTCCCTCCACTCTACAGCAACCAAAGGTAAATCTCGTGTCCTTCCTTAAAGCCATTTTAATGCCTACTATATTTTTTTCCTCTTAAAAGCTTTTATTTTTTGTTTTGGCTCTTTTTTTTTTAACACTACCTGGGAGTTTTTATGAAATCGCTCACACTTGATACCCACCCGCATGCACACGCCTTGCACCCTGCAAGGAGAGAGAACAGAGAACAGAAAACCATCCCCAAAGCCCGAGATGTCTTTAGGATTGAATAAATCAAGAAAAAAATCTTGCTGTGGAAAGCCAGCCAGGAGTACCAGGTGGTGAACGTGCCAGGTACCCGGTGTCGGCTCCGGCGGCGCTTCTGCCAGCGTCTGGGGCTGGAACAGCACCCGCATTGGTTGAAGATTAAAAAAAATATAACAGAGAGAGAGAGAGAATAATGTTTATCTTGTACTTTGAGTTCTTGGAGGCAGGAGAACATAGCCTTGTTGTGGAGGTAGCGGGAGCGGCGTGTGGAGGGTTTGTAATCGCCGTGATAAACGCGGCGTGGCCACGTGCCAGGAGCCAGATCCAGTTCCAGTAAGGCTCCACTCGTGTGGTGCAGCCAGGGGAAGGGCTTAGTCACCGTGTTTATCTGTTGTCTGGTCCTACTGCTGCCTGCCTTGGCTGCAGTGGTTCCCCCCAGCCCTCCAGGCTCGCCCGGGGCTCCTGGGCTGCCCCCAGCCCCGTGTCTTCCTCCTCCCGATGGGCTCTGATGGGTTTTCTTAGAATTATAGATAGGTTTGGGTTGGAAGGGACCTTTCAAGGTCATCGAGTCCAACCCCCTGCCCTGAGCAGGGACATCCCCAGCTAGAGCAGGGTGCTCAGAGCCCCGGCCAACCTCCCCTGGGATGGTTCCAGGGATGGGGCAGCGACCACCTCTCTGGGCAGCCTGGGCCAGGGGCTCACCACCCTCAGCACCAACAATTTCTTCCTGGTCTCCAGTCTAAATCTCCCTCTTTGAGTTTCAAACCATCCCCCCTTGTCCTGTCCCAACAGACCCTGATAAAAGTCTGTCCCCAGCTTTCTGACAGACCCCTTGAAGTCCCCTAAAAGGCCACCAGAAGGTGTCTCTGGAGCCTTCTCCTCTTCAGGCTGACCAAGCCCAACTCTGAAGAAAAGTCTAAAGACAAGGAGACTGAGGGGAGACTTTATTGCTCTCTACAGCTTCAGGACAGGACATTGTGGAGAGGAAGGTGCTGGTCTCTTCTCACAAGTAACTAGTGATGGAACAAGAGGGAATGGCCTCAAGTTGCTCCTGGGGAGGTTTAGACTGGACATTCAGAAGAACTTTTTCACTGAAAGGGCTGTCAGGTGTTGGAACATGCTGCCCAGGGAGGTGGTTGAGTCCCCATCCCTGGCTGTGTTTAAAAGCTGTGTAGATGTGGTGCTTGGGGCTAGGGCTTAGAGGGGGATTTGGTAGTGTGGTAGAGCAGGGTGGATGGTTGGACTCCATGACCTTCAAGGTCTTTTCCAACTGAAATGATTCCATGATTCTCTCAGCCTGGCCTCACAGCAGATAGATTCCAGCCTTCAGATCATTTGTGGCCTCCTCTGGTCTGGCTCGAGCAGGTTCACGTCCTCCTTGTGCTGAGAGATTTTGGGAGGTAGCCTTTGTAAGGCATTCCCTTTGGAGGCCAGCTTGGCGTGGTTTGGGCTGCCCTGGGTGCCATCCTGCCCTCTCACCCTGCTGCAGTTCACCTGGAGGGATTCTGTGGTGGCACCAGGTTCGACTGCAAAGACGTGAAGTTCATCGTGGGCGAGGGGGAGGACCACGACATCCCCATCGGCATCGACAAGGCCCTGGAGAAGATGCAGAGGGGAGAGCACTGCATCCTCTACCTCGGGCCACGGTAAGGACCCTTCCCCCCAGGGGTTCCATCTTGTTTTAAGCTTCCAGCATCCAAGGTCGTTTTGGCACTGGTGGGAGATGCTGATCCTGAAAATTGGACTTTTCCAGGAGAACTTTGATAGTGATGCCAGCAGGGATGGTGAGGTTGGTGGTGTGTAGGGAGGAATCTCAGGGTGCTTTGAAAAATCAGGTGAAAGGGGTTTATCAGGGTCCTGTGGCTGAAAGGAAAATATCTGCCTGGAGATCACCAGGGCTGGGTCCTTAACTGTGGGGAAACCTGGATGAAATTTGGCTTTGATGCAGCCGGCGAGGATGATTCCCACTGTATGGAGGGTTGGGGAACAAAGATCCCCCTGGCCCCAGAACCTTAGAAAGCTGTGGGCACGGCGCTGGGTGCCAGAGCAGAATTAGCATAGTGGGGTGGTTCTGAGGGGCAGATGGGGGAGGTCCTTCCACCCCTACCCTCTGCCAGCTCCTTTCTGCCCTCCCAGCTACGGCTTCGGGGAGGCGGGGAAGCCGAAATACGGGATCCAGGGGAACGCGGAGCTGGTCTACGAGGTCACACTGAAGAGCTTTGAAAAGGTGAGCGAGGGAGGGGGAGGGCAGAGGGAGTCCCCCCCCCCCCGGTGATGGGAACACGGGGTCACCCTCTGTCCCTGGCCCGGCCGGGGTGGAGACGTCACCAAGGATCTCGGTGTTCTGCACTTGTTCTTCTCTGCTGCTTTGGTTTATTCCTCTGGCTGGGGTCCAAGGCTGGTTCTTTGATTTGTTCCCAGCCTTGTTCCTTTTGTACTTCCTTTTTTTATTTATCTTTCTCCATTTTTCCCCCCTTTATTTACCTTTTCCTTTTTATTTATTTATTTATCTTTAATTTACCTTTTCCCTTTCTAAAATGTGGATCTCCTTCCTTTCTTAAAATGTGGATCTCCTTCCTTTTTAAAATTTGTATTTCTGTTTTTCTACTTTTCCTTTTTCTTATTTTCTTTTTCTTCCCCCCCCTTTTTCTTTCTTCCCCCTCATTTTTTCTTTTTTTTTTTTTTTTTTTTTTTTTTTTTTGTGGTGGACAAACCACCCAGCTCAGGGTGAAATCCCAAACCTGGTGGGGGGGGATTCTCTGTTGTAAAGGGCTCCAGGCCCACACCCCAACGTGTCTCCTTATCCTCAGCCCATCCAATTGAAAAAACTGCTGGATGTGCCCTCTGTAATACTGCCCTGAGGAGCCCAGGTCGTTCCTGAGCAGTCCTGGGGTGCTCTGTGGTCCTGCTGGGGCTGCTGTGCCCCGCTGGGATTGCTCTGGGTCTTTCTTTGCAGGCCAAGGAGTCGTGGGAGATGGACACCAAGGAGAAGCTGGAGCAGGCTGCTGTCGTCAAGGAGAAAGGCACAATGTACTTCAAGGTTTGTAAACCTGGGGATGGTGGAAGTGGAACAAGGGAGATGGAAATAAATTGGGAGTGACCGTTGGATACGTGACTTGGCAGTCAGCAGTGTGGGAGAAGCTGTGTCATAGAACCACAGGATCACAGCCTGGGTTGGGTTGGAAGGGCTGGACAGCCTTTACAGGTCATCTAGTCCAACCCCCTGCCCTGAGCAGGGACATCCCCAGCTAGAGCAGGGTGCTCAGAGCCCCGGCCAACCTCCCCTGGGATGGTTCTAGGGATGGGGCAGCGACCACCTCTCTGGGCAGCCTGGGCCAGGGGCTCACCACCCTCAGAAGCACAAATTTCTTCTCTCAAATCTAAAGCTCTCCCCCCTTGTCCTGTCCCAACAGCCCCTGCTCAAATTTCTGTCCCCATCTTTCTGGCAGGCCCCTGGCAGTCCTGGCAGCACCCAGCAGATCTCCCCAGCTGGAGCCTTCTCCTCTCAGCTGCTCACGCCCAACTCTCTCCTGCTGGGCTCCCAGCAGAGGGGTTCCCCCCTCGGGGCATTGCTGGGGCACCTCTGTCCCCTCTCCAGCAGGGCCCTGGCTCTGCTGTGCTGAGGACTCCAGAGCTGGACCCAGCACTCCCCAGACAGCATTGGGGAAGGCAAGTTCTGCCCTTCCTCTTCCTCATTCCTCGAGACACCTCCTCCTCCTTTCCCAGTATTGCCTTGCCCACATGTGCTCCCTGAGGAGCAGGACAGGGGGTTGGACACTCCCCAGGGGTGGCTGTGGCTAATGCCAAGGGGCTCTGCCATTCCCCCTCCCAGCCTGGGACACCCTGATGTTACTCTGCCCTGCACGGAGCAGGAACCCAAGCTCTGACCTGGCTCTTCCCAGGGGCTGTGCCTCAGCAGCTCCAGCCAGGCCCGGGGTGTCTGTAGGTCCTGGAGATCCTCCTCCCTTCGTTTCTTTCTTTAAGACACTGTGTTAAACTCGTCACCTGTTTGCAGGATGTTTTGGGAGCAGAGTGAGCGTTCTCGGCGCGGGTTCCTCTAGCCTCTTCTTCTTTGCTCCACCCCAGGAAGGCAAATACCTGCAGGCAGTGATTCAGTATGGGAAGATCGTGTCCTGGCTGGAGATGGAGTATGGCTTGTCTGAGACAGAGTCCAAAGCCTCCGACTCCTTCCTCCTGGCTGCCTTCCTCAACCTGGCCATGTGCTACCTGAAGCTGCGGGAGTACGCCAAGGCCGTCGAGTGCTGTGACAAGGTAGAACCTTGAGCCTGGGGGTGATCACAGAATCGTTGGAAGAGACCTTCCAGATCATGGAGTCCAACTGCTCCCCCAGCACTGCCACGTCCCCACTGACCTGTGTCCCTCACACCACATCTCCAGGGATGGGGACTCCACCACTGCCCTGGGCAGCCTGGCACAGCCCTGGAAAACCCTTGAGCAGAAGAAACTGTTCCTCAGCTCCAACCCAAACCTCCCCTGGGGCAACTTGAGGCTGTTTTCATCTTGTGGTCTTCCCTGAGCCTCCTTTGCTCCAGCTAAACTTGCATGTTTTCCCTGGGAGCTTGGGGTTTTTTGAATTTCTTTTCATAGAAGAAGCAATTTTCAAGCAGCAGTGGGATGGTGGCATCTCTTGTGCACCTTGAGGTCTCAGCAGGGGCTGCATGCTCGGAGACTGCAGGAGCAAAAGTGCTTTTTGGACTTCAAAATCCACCTGGCTGTGCACATACAAGAGCTTTTCTTGCAAAGATAGACCCACATGGTTGGGTGCCCTGTGGACCTAGCAGCCTTAGGCTGCTGGCTGGATCTGGGTGCTAGGTGCTGATGGGGGTATGACAGAGGAGGTGCATCTCCATGTCCATTGAGGAGTGGGACAGGGCTTTGCCAGTCCTTAAAAGAGCTAAACCCCTGTCTTGGTCAGGAAACTATTCATTATTTTATAAAAGGCTTAGATTTAAGCA